TTTTTTTCCTCACTCTAATTCCAGTATCTGATATTGAATCACAGGCCGCGCACTTCCCCCCATGTGATTGGGGTGAAAACATCTTCGTATAGTCGTGCGCGGTCCTTGGATGATGGGATTTCGCGTATCATGGATGCCATAGACCTAGGAGAAGCAGTATGGCTTCCTTGAAGGGAAGATAGGCGACTCTTGATTCACATAGTTCGAATACAATTTTTGTAGTGAGGATCCGTACAATATAATGAGGATCTGTTGACTCCTCGTGGCAATTACTCTGTGAATAAATGTAGATAATGCGCGAGGCGCGGAATACGTCTAAGTCAAGTGGGAAAGTGAAGCGCTAGCATGTCTTGAAGGAGGAATGCGTAATCTACAACGAGACAGATGTATATAGACTCTACAACACAGCAAAATCAGGGGTCTTCTGATAGAGCAGCTCACCTCGCGCATGATGGTAAAAGAGAGAATGTATATCATCCATAGCGTGCATGAGAACATCCTCCAGCGCTTTGTTGACATCATCTACCCTTCCAGCAGTAAGCTCGACCTGACGCAGCTCCTTCCCCACACCAAGGCGTTGCAAAGTTGCGCAATGGCATTCCTGAACCTGTTGTCGGAGTTCCTCTACTTTTACCAGCAAAGTCGTGATAGCCTGGATGCAAGACTCGATGTCTGTGCTCGCTTTGAAATCGTGGACTAAGTTGTCGAAAAGCTCAGTCGAGGAGCCGTTCATGAGGCGGTTGAGTGCAGCATCTACATTTGCTAGAGTCCCACTTGTAAAATAAGTAGTTAGTTCGAGGTAACAAAACGCTCTGGGATAGACTCACCTCCTGCCCCGCATAATTTAACATGTCGTTTAGGAATTTTCTGAGAGTCCACATTGACGCTGCAATGACATGAAAGTGAATCAGACATTTGTGAAAGAAGATTAAGCTCACTGTTGTTGTGCTCGGAGTCGATACCTTGCTTTGTCCTTCAAACGCTTGATGTAGCGCGCATTCCTACACATTATAGTTAGTATTAGAATCTGCGTTGCGGTGTAACAACTCACCGGTCATAATATTTTTTGCGGGATCGTCTTGCTGCCTCCGTTTTCTCTTCAGAAGTCCAGTGCAATCGAGGGCGAGTCATAGTGTGGTTATGAAGTAAGTGTGGGAGGTTAACAAATCGAAGATCGCAATGAGCCGGAGTTCGTATGGTAGGTAATTTACACGAGAATTATAATAAACATGTCTCCGTAACCACAGACGACCGATTTGTAAAATAAAATATAGTGAGCGTATGTATGGGTACTGTAGGCATCATTTGGTGAATGTGGTGACTGCTATATTAAAGTAAGAACATGTCTAGCGAACATATTTTGAGGAATTTACACGAGATTTATAACATAAGATTGTCACTGTAGCCTACAGACAATTGAATTGTGAAGTTGAACATGGTGCAGCGTGTGTATGGATACCGTAGGCATCATTGGTGAATATTTGACTATCAAATTAACCTTGAGGTGAATGTCTAGCGAAACATATTTTTGTCGCGACACCTTGATCTACTACTGCACGCCAATCAATCATTGCTAGTAGCAAGACTCCTATTAAAACAAATTCACAAAGTTTTCCTCAACATCCGGAGTGCATATTTGCTTGCCATTATCAAAACCAGCTAGTACATAGTGTATATATCTCTATGTACATATGTATACTTTTGCCGATATAAGAGACGGTGCCAGTAGCATGCAAGACCTAGGTGGAGGTCTAGAATTATGGCGCGGATACTTCCGGTAAGCTCAATCTAGGTGGAGGTCTAGAATTATGGCGCGGATACTTCCAGTAAGCTCAATCTCTCCCGGTATACAGCTCAATTCTAGGTGGAGGCTCTAGAATTATGGTGCGGATACTTCCAGTAAGCTCAATCTCTCCCATATTCATGATGCTTCGACTCAGGAGGACATTCTATTCGTAGGGCGCGATGTTTTTGAGGGCAATCCAGCACTCCGCCGCGGAGTCCAAAAATAGCATATATCAGTCTCATCTCAGACGATCAGTACGTGCAAACACCCACTAAAATCTGCTGAGGTATGCGATCTATTTTTCTTCTTATAATGACTACGGCTAATGTTTACAGTCTGCGAAACATATTTGCAGGAGAGAGTTTCAATGAACGGCTTGCCAAACGTTTCACACTGAGGTACGTGACACTGAGGTACGCGAGCGGGTCCAGGCTAAGTATAAATTTCGCAGTCAGCGACACCCAAGCCGACGGTACCAGAATGGTCAAGCGATCAACTGAAGTGGTTAGAGGACCAGATGGCCCTATACCTCGTTAGCCTGCCAATACGACGACCTCTTGGAATTCTGGCCATCGTTGTTCGACATTTTTTTTGCTTGTTGGCCGATCATTCCAGAGTCCGAGGTCCTCACCACTGAGCAACAACACTCCCTTTTTCAGGCGGAAGAACAGCGCAAACTCGTAAGTATTTTTATATAAATTATTAAGTTACATTGTAGCTCTGACTACTCGACTGCAGCGCATTAAAGCTGGTTTCGAACAAAAGAAGACCAACTCTATGGTACCACTTACCATAACGTCTGTGTCTGCAGATGGCCAGATGGTCTTGCGTTTTTGAGGAGCCGTTCGAGGAAGCGTTCAACCGTACTTTGAACGTTCAACCGTAGTTGGAGGACAGCGAGGCAGATAGCAACAAAGAAGCATAGTATATTTAGAAGTACCAGAGCCGCCAAATTAAACTTTGTTTGATACCTAACTCTATAAATGAAGTCTCTGCGTTTGATTCTCGAGCCTCGAGTGCGCTCAAGGCAACAAATGAAAAAGTTTGACCAGCACACGTGAAATCGCGAGTGTTGTTCTGAGGTACATAAGGCTTTTTTCTTTTATTTTCATACATTACATTCAGCACGCTACGTGATACGTGACCTAATTCAATAATTAACAGTACGACATGCCGACATTTCATCATGCTGCTCTGCGGACTGACATGGTACTTACAGATGCCGGCAGCAAAGTGGACCACCGATGAACAGTACGTCTGGCTTCAAGATCGGTTAGCGACGTATATGGTCCACGCGAAGGAAAAGGATTACTCACGTTTCTGGGCTCCGTGTCGTATAGCCTGGTTCGCGCAGTTCCCAGAACGTGCGGTGGTCTATCCTGACATCCCCAAGGATGTTGAGCTTACCTGCGAGCAGCAAAAGGTCGTTGAGCTCGCAGAGGAGGCGCGTGAGGCGGTAAGCTCTTTGGCGTGTTACCTATGCTGCGTTTTCACAATCAGTACCTATCCACAACAGCAACTACACACCTGGTTTCGCTGGCGTGTCAATAAATCTAAGAAGAACCGCAGCCTAAAGAAGAAACTAACAGTCTTTGACGATACTCTGCAGCCGAAGAGACGCGCGAAGTCAGAGGCTGAAATTTATTCAGAGTTGTATTATGACGAGCGTATCAAGCCCTTGGTGATGGCCGAGCAAGATGCCGGAAACGTGGCAACGTCCGGCAAGCGCGTGGCCCTTGGTCGAAAATTCTCGAAGGAGTTACTGGAAGATGAGACTGAAGAGATCAAGGCAGAGATTCGTGAAAAGTATGAGGAACAACTCACTCACAAGAAGCGCGCCAAGCGTGAGAAGAACGTTCTTGACGATGACGCCGACAACGACGACAACGAAGAGTTAGATGCGGAGGCAATCATGCAGTACGTGTGATTCAGTTCTATCAGTGTATTCAATACTAATGCCATTCAAATTTTACAGAGGTATAGATGACTTACCTGTCATTTGTCGACGCTTCGCGAAGCTTGTCAAGCAGAAGACTCGCTTCATGGTCTCGTTTATGTTTGCTGGTCCTGATCCTAGAAATGACTGGGACATGACGACATTATCGTAAGTTGCGAGGATTTGTCAGCTTGTACTGCCACTCACGCAGAGAAGGTGTCATCCTTCAGAAACACCTCAAGGCGATTCCTTTGCCGAGCTATACCAGACGGCTGATAGCGACTTCTTGGCAGCCTTCCAGCAGTACGCAGAACAAATATTTCGTAAGTCTTCTTATCTCGCATTAATAGTGGCAACACTCACTGAAAGTGCGTGCAGCTGGCAACAAGCGGAAGCCCGACAACAAGGCCGAAAGCAGTGAGATTGGAGGCATTGCTGAGGAAGAGTCTGAGGAGCGTGAAGAGGATGGGGAGGAGTGTGAAGAGGATGGGGACAAAGACGAGGAAGGCGAAGAAGACGAGCCCAATGCGCAGTCTACAGACGTCGAGGAAGAATCTCAGCTAAATGTGGATGAGGGCGAGGCGAATCAGTACATGGAGTCTGGTGAGTTGCCCAGTCTTTATATACCTTTAGACGAGCGGCTGATGCATCGGTCTGATGCATCAGCAGTCACTCTTCCCATCCCTGGTGCATCCTTAGGCGATGCATCTGATGCATCAAGTCTTGGGGGATCATCTGTGATGCACGCGTCGATGGAGACGACTGCCAGTTTACCGTCCGTAAGTGCTTCTTTGGTCTCAGCATCAACGCTCGCACCTGACTCTCGATATTTTAGTATGGCACGCCGTTCTATGGCATGTCAATGTATGACACGCAGCCTCAGCCCATGTACGGCGCCCATGCCATGTATGGTGGACAGGATCAAATGTATGGCATGCAAGGACCAACATATGACGCGCAGGGCACCAGCCATGCTTTACTCGCCGGAAATTCCTGCCTCACTGGGTCTGATGCATCGCTTCACTCTCAAGGAACCGCATTCCCACTACAGACGACTAACCACTTCGATTTCGGCATCCCTCCTTCTAATTCGTTCATGCCAGGCGCCGTCACCCCCGAGTTTTCGTTCGATCAGGGATTCCAGGCTGCAAATTGGAACAACCAGGCCTGGAGCGTGAACAACAACAATCCAGGCTGGAATTTCAGTTCTGCTGAACGAAGCAGCCTGCAGGACTCACTCGACTCACTTCCTGCTCTGCCTCCTCCTGCCAGTGAGCCCAATGAGGACTCGCGACCTGTTCTACCTTCTCCCAACCCGATCCTGAGTACGGACGATACTTCTCTCCCTCCTGTTCTACCTTCTCCCAACCCGATCCTGAGTACGGACGATACTTCTCTCCCTTCCATCGGCAAGGCTCGCACGACGACTGGCAGAAGGGTTGCCCAGAAGGCTACCAAAAAGGGAGACAGCCAGAAGCGTCCTAATACTAAGTCGACCAAACCCTCAGCTGAAACAGCAACACAGCCGTCTCCCATTGTGTGTGCCACCAAGAACAAGCAGCCGGCTAAATCCTCTTCCAAGAAGTCGTCTGTCGCTAAGCCATCGCCTGGTCAGGCTATACCCTCCATTGAAACGGTCGCTCAGCCCTCTGCCCCTTCTGCCCAGTGCACGACCAAAAAAAGGCAGCCACCTGCTGCTAAGCCGTTGGCTGATGAGTCTGCCGCTACCACAAGGGAGCCCTCACCCGGTCCTTCACCCAACCCTATTGTCAATGTAACTGGTGGTGCCTCCAGCGCTTCATCATCAGACAGCTTGATGAATGTCGCTTTGGACACTGAAGTGCGCAGAAAGCGCGTGCCAATCAAATCTAGACGCAATGACCTTGCAGATGCTATTGGGACTAACGGTGTTTCGTTCTACGCTGGGAAGGAGAATTTATTGGAGGCCGAAGCACCTCGCTTGTTGAAGCGGCCTGCGCAAAGTGAGGCTTCCAGTGCTCCCAAGTATGTTTGATTTAGTTTTTGCGTACTTTGCCTCACACACTGACGTATTTTAGGAAAAAGCGGACCAAGGCGTGATTGGCTAGGCACTGCGTATTGATTCGTTGTACAATAGCATCTTGATAGCATCCTTTGATAATTTGTATTGACCGCTGTGACTTAATGAGATCATCTTGACATAGACCAAACGACTTAGCGAATTTTGAGTGGAGAGATCACGTGATCTCTGTTGAACGTTCGAACTATGACACGTAGGCACTTAGTGAATGCAGGTAGTAGTAAGTATATATGTCACAGACGGCGCAAGTTTGAAAACAAACGAGTTTCTGTATTATGATGCCATATGTTCCATTATCACACTAATACAGGCTATCTACCGTATAGTAATAAATGGGCGATACATTCATTGGTAGCGGCAGGATTGCTAATGATACTGGTGGTAATATCGCATCGATGGTGCCAGGGGTGCATCAAGGAGCGGGCCATTGGAAGCGGCGGGATGGAAGCGGCGGGATGGAAGCGGTGGGATGGAAATGGCGGGATGTGCGCAGCAGTACCCATTGGAAGTGGCGGGATGTGATATATATAGTACAAGGGCGCATTCATTGGTAGGGCATCAATGGTGGCCGTGGATGCATCAATGGTGGCGGGAATGCATCACAGAGTGGGGTGCTGATAGGGTGGTATATATAGTTCAATGAGGTATCGGGGATGCATCAATATCAATGGCGGGGATGCATCAAGGAGCGGCAAGGGCGCATTTGGTAGGGCATCAATAGTGGCCATGGATGCATCAATGGTGGCGGGAATGCATCACAGAGTGGGGTGCTAATAGGGTGGTATATATAGTACAATGAGGTATTGGGGATGCATCAATATCAATGGCGGGGATGCATCAATATTAATGGCGGGGATGCATCAAGGAGCGGGTTACCTGCAGCGCCTTGATTAGTAAGGCTAAGGTGATGTCATAATCCATCAGGAATGCATATTCACAATGATGCATTAACGATGCATCGATGCATGAAGATGCATTACAGATGCATTACAGATGCATCACAGTGATCCTAGGTGATGCATCTGTAATGCATCATAATGCACCATACATTAGCAGCGCTAGCACTGTAGGATGAATGCATCACTATAACCTTACAGTCTCAATGCTTTGTTGCATCAATATGACAGGGACGCCTGATTCACGATTTGATGTCGAGAACGTGTTCTATTATGACCGCCGGTTCCAATAGCAGTCTCACTAGCCTGGCTGCCATCTGCTCGAAATGTGAGAGTGAGCTGCATACTGTGTAGTTAGAGTAACATACCGTCACGAAATGCCCGCCCCATAAAAACCTCTTCATCTTCCGATATTTCAGCTCCCTGATCATCCGAGAGGTCAACTTCATCTAAAAAATCACTTAAACCTTGCGCAATCATTGCCGTCGTGATCGAGTAGTTGCTAATGTTGTCTGCTGAGTCATCACCCAGCTCAAAATCGGGAGTGCCAGCCATGTCATCGAGAAGACCACGTAGCTCGACAATGGAGTTGGATGAGCTGTTCCTGCGGTGCTGCTGTTTTCTCGCATGGTGTTTGACTGCATTTTGATGAGACTGGGTCTTCTCGTGCTTCTGAACTGCCCGCCGATCATGGGGTTTATTGTCCTGACAAAGGTTGCAGACCCATTTGTTCCCCTTATCAGCAGGCGTCCAAACTGGCAAAAATTAGATCCTGGAGTTGCTAGCTTATCTGAATCGCTTCGTACCATCAAGATCAGGCATAGTAAATTGAGCAATGGGCCTGTTGATAAAGTGACTATTATACCGAGGATAAGCAGAACAACGGCGTCAGGATATCTGTAAGATGCCCCATGTATATAGTACTTACAATGCGGAACTATAGAACAATATTGTCCCCAGTATATTCTGCTTTTGACCGCAGTGAGATGACTAAACGAGCCTGTTGATCCAATGATTATTGTGCCGACAATGTGTAGAGACTGACGAAGGATAATTCAAGGACGCCCTGCGCAGATAGTGCCTATAGGGTGCAGCCCTTGTTTGGCGTTGTTCCCAGGATAAATTGTCTATGGCCAAACAGTTTGAGCCTCAGTTTAAACTCGCGATGAACCTGAGGTAATCCGCTCGGTAGCTGACGGACAACTCAACATTAGCACTTCGTTCTCGTTTATGCTTAACTGACGGATCTTGTCCTATCTCAGTACTCCGTCTCTATTCAAAAAAGTACAGCATACAAATTATATATATATAATGAGTACTAAAAGGACCGGCTTAACCACAGGTTCAACTAACTTCTTACCGTGTATTATACTTAACACATTGTGTCACGTGCGCGCGCTCAGTCTATTAGCGTAAAGCTACAGTACATTTCTTGATTCTTGACTCAGTACATCGATGCAGAGTAGTCACCAAGCCCATTAACATGCTTTCCGACTCCGATACCGAGGATATTCAAACACTCACCATCAATGAACACTACGCAAAAGCGTTCGAATACAAGAAAGAGCGCGAGGAGCTCGCAAAATGTGTGTCCAAACCGAATTCCCGTCTGACGTGACGGAATTCAACTAACACATGACTACCAGTAAAAGAAAAATATGGGTCTGACTTTGAAGAGGATGAGGACGAGGAGACAGACTCTGAGGACGCAGAATCCGAAGATGAGGATGGGGAGGAGCTCACGCCTGCAGTGGATGCTGCAATTTTGAGGACGCTGGCAAGGATCAAGAAGAAGGATCCGGCCATCTACAACACGGAGAATATTATTTTCGAAGGTTGGTACATTGCGTCTGTCTCGAATTTCGCCAGTTCTGATGCTTATTAGAGGAGCAGGAGCGCACCGCCGTTCGTGCTCCCCAGGTGCAAACGCGAAAAATTAAGGATAAAGTGAGTATTTTTATCACAAGTACAATCCTACATTTAATACCTCCCATTCATAGTCAAAACCTCTTACTTTCCGCCAAGCAACTCTCGCATCCGCTCTCGAAGCCAACATATCCCGTTCGCCCACTCCAGAACCACACATACCCACACACACCGAGGAGCAGCGTCGGTTGCGTGATGAAACTCGTGACGCATTCCATACTGCCGTCAATGAGAGTGATGATGACGGATTGCTTATTCCGCGAGAGAAGACAAAGGACGAGCTTGAGCATGAAGAGGAGGAATACAGAGAATACCTGAAACATGCAGTTGGCGAGGATCTTGAAGGTCTCATAGAGATCGACAATTCGGGGATAGGTGCAGGAACTGAGAACAGTGAAGAAGGCGCCGGTGAAAAAAAGAAGAGAAAGACGAAGATAAAAGGTAACGAGGCGAAGGGGATATCCAAGCAAGAGGCCGATCAGGAGTTCCTCATGAAGTTAGTCATCCTTCTTCACGAACCGAGCCACTTCTAAATACTATCAGCTATATCCTCAACCGCGGATGGGTCGACAAATCAGCACGACGACTACCCACATACAAGGAAATCGTCAAACCCAAATCGACAAAGCGCAAGGCTAAAGATTCTGTGGCCGAATCTGAATTTGAGGTTTCAGATGAAGAACAGTTGGATGCCGTGCACGGAGGACAGCGTGCATCTGAGCACGCCATAGAAGACGACGACGAATTCGAGGAGATCGCCGACGCTTTCGAGACTTCATATAACTTCCGTTTCGAAGAACCGTGAGTACCATTACAGTCTCCACCCACTTCTTTCCGCTTTACACCTTTCGCCTATCAGCGACGCAGCTACTATCAAGACCTTTCCACGAAATATCACCTCCACAGTACGCCGGGCTGACACAACTCGCAAAGAGGGTCGTGAGCGAAAGAAGCAGCGCCAGGAAGAAGAACTCGAGAAGAAGCACGAGGAGGTAAAGAGGTTGAAAGCTCTTAAAATGAAGGAAGTCCGTCGAAAACTCGAGCGCATTGGGCGTGAAGGTGGCGTCGATATTGATCCCGATGCTGAAGCCTTCAAGGAGTTCGACCTCGATGCAGACTGGGATCCCGAAGCACATGACAAGCAGATGGCGGGGCTCTACCGTGATGGCCACGACTCTGATGGTGAAGAAGAAAAGCCCGTCTGGGACGACGATGTCGATATTGAGGATATCATCCCACCTTCTCAGCCCACCGAATCTTCATTTTTAAATAAGAAGAAAAAGAAGAAAAAGAAAAAGAAAACCGAGGACAACGACGAAGGAGTGGATATTAATGCTATGGATGCAGACGTCGTGCGCGCATACGATGATGAAGAGGAGTGGGACGGCACTGAGGAGATGAGGAAGCGCAAACTTGATGAATATATGGATGAAGTCTACGGACTCGAGTTTAACGACATGGTGGGCCTCCTTTTATCACCTTTATAAAATCACATTTACAGGTATTGTCGCAGGTGGCGGGAATGCCTACGCGTTTCAAATACACTACGACCGCACCGCAGACGTTCTCGCTCACCCCTGTGGAGCTCCTCATGGCCACAGATAAGGAACTCAATCAGTACATGAGTGTGAAGCGATATGCACCGTACCGCGTGGAGAAGTGGGACCATAACCGTGGAGATCGCCTCAAAGAGTTCAGGGAGAAATTGAAGGACCGTGTGGGGGGCATTGGGACGAGCCATAGGAGCGAGGATCCGGCGCCGAAAAAACGGCTGGGGAAGAAGGAGCGACAGAAAATGAAAGCAGCTGGTGGTGGCGATGAGGGGGCAGTGGGAGTTGAGGGAGTAGGAGACTCGGCTTCTACTAAGAAACAGAAGAAGGTATTGGAGGAACGTGAAGATGATGTCGAAAAACTGGAGGAGAATGAGCCACCCAAAAAGAAGAGGAGGAGAAAGCACAAAACGTTAGTTCAGGCTGAATGACAGATATCTACACCGAAGTATGCATGTATGCGTCCTTCATGTCTGTCGATCACAACCTAGGTTTTAAACTTTTAAGTGCCATTGCGTAAAATTGCTGGCCGCACGAGCCAAAGGAGCATAAGTCAAAAGAGTCAAGAGAAATTAAGTGCTGGCTAAAATGGAAACAGCCATGAAGAAGATGAATGCCCTCTATGGAACAAAGCTCAGACTTTATGCTGGAGGACGAAAGAGTGTTCATCAAAAACTTCGCGGCACAGCGTAGTTCAGACAATAGTACGTCGCGCAGTCTCAGGTTTACCGCAGCAAGAACACCAAGAACGTTTGTGAATTAATACTTTGCTTATCATTAAGAAATTATGACCGACTATGTGTCCGTGATAAGATTGGCGGTATTGCCTTTCTCAAGGTCCAGGCGCCCCAAGGCTAAATAACTCCTTGTCTGCCGGGTCAAAGCAGATGACCAAAGCTATGTCCGAGCGAATGGTAATTTTAGGAGGAGTGTTCAAATTGATCGGTAGACTCTGGAGTGTAAGTCGCAGAGGTTCGTCCATGCGGTAGAAATTGGCGCCAGACTCTGATATAGTGGTTGAAGTCGAAGAATTAGTTGCATGTTCCTTGACGGGCGCAATCAGTACAGAAACTTGAAAATCCCTCGCATGTACCAACCCCTGCGGAACGATACCTGCGACTTCGCAAAGTTGCTAGGACACCGCTTATCCCGGAACTGTTTGTCGAGGTATTGATTCAACATATGAAAGAAAAGGTGGAACATACCTCCAACCATGAAGCGTTTCTTGATGCAGATGATAGCCGTTCAACTGGTATGCACTGAGGTTGAGATAGAGCGACTGGTCACACCTGCGTCGCCCAGTCCTGTAGCACCGATCACCCTTTCGATATTGTCATCTCCAAGAGTCGTAAGTGTAGCTGTTTTCGGTGTGTTTCTAATAATTCCTTGGAAAAGTATGGCGGACGTTCGATTTGCAGCGGCTTCAAAAGAGGCGGCGAGTCGCAGCTATCTTGCATTGCAGTGTTGTCAGTGGGTGGATATCGAGTTGAGACGCATGCCGAAAGGAGCTCTGTGTTTTCATGTAGCCATTCGTACAAGCAGATGGGTTCCTCGATATCATACCCCCGCACCTGGACATAGAACGGAACTACTCTCCACTGATGGCTGTTTCTACATGCATATATTTGACTCCAATAAGTGGGTCACTGGTTGCAGCAGTATGCGGCAGTCGTGCAGACATTCAGGAGATCGGTGTGGGTAAGGGAGCTTTTAGATAAGACCCACTTGAGTAAAACAAGACTTAGTGGATGATCTCGCGCGTTTAACAGAGTCAAAGGTGCTGGACAGTGTGACCTCCTTATTCTAGGTGAGGGAGTACGTGTAGTCTTTAGAAACTCGCGTAGCCTGAGTGGTATCCTGCAATAGAATAAACAGTCAAGAGACGCATGAAAGCCTGTCACAACTTACCACGCGTCTTGAACGGCTGCTCCTCAGGCACAATCAGTGGCAAGGTGCTGTCTAGTGTAACTGATCAGCAAAGAGGGAGCAAAAGGCAAGTGCTGAGAAGGACTGCGTTACCTTGGACCACGCCTTGTCCAGTGTATTGACCTACAGAACAAAAAGTAATCCACCACTACTGCGGGAACTGCTTGGGCCTTGATGCTGAAGTGCCGTGCGAGGTGACGCATTGACAAGCCTCCGCAATGCAGTTTAAATATAGCGACAGGGCGGATAAGTTGTGCATCAGCAAAATCCCGGATCTCTTCACACGCCTTTTTTGGCTTTTTCAATGGTCTCAAGTGAAAAAAAGAGCGAGGGCACCACAAGACGCGCCAAGGCCACGCGTCTTCTTGTAGCGGCTTAATCACACTTGAATCCACTTATTATGTATGATGTAAGGCACAAAAAACTCGACACAAGTCCATTGCAAGTCACTGTAAAATGCGTGATAAAACCACCAAAAAGGGTGCGAAAGGGAACATAAGCGGAAAATGGGTGATAGGCACAGAATCATGAACAACATTAAAGGGGATCTAAGAAGCATTAGGAGACAATCAAGAGCGGCTGAAAGAGTGACGAAGGCATGGAAATATGATAAAAGACCAGTGAAAAAGAGCAAAACGAGTGACGCAGGCATGGAAACACGTTAAAACACGTTAAAAGACGAGTGAGGAAGAGCAAAACGAATGAGCGGTTCCAAACGGTGAAAATTGCAAGCGCAAAGCACGAAATAATATATCCAAATGTCCTAACGAGAAGACATCGACCAGAGGCGTGAGGCTCGCATATCTGCAGGTAGTAGTGCAAACATTATTAAAACCCGGGGATTGTGAGAGCTGCAACTTACCAAATGTCTGCGCGATCGTCATCCTCGTCGGACATGTCATTGCCAGTGTATTTCTCGAAACCAGGCTTTTTCAGAACCTTCCACGCCATCGAGACAGTGAGCTCTGTTGCCGCCATGCCCTTCTTTTTCGCCCCGCATACAAATGCAGCAGTCTTGGAGCTCCATTTAGCAACTGAGAATGCGTGTTCGGAAGTCGTCTCCTTTCCAGTAGCTTTGTTGAAGGTCTTGGGCGTCTTGAGGCGAGCTTTCCGCACATTGATCGGCAGCTCCGAGTTCTCCTCGCTGTCAAGAGTGACAGTGCTATCAGCGAGAAGAGTGAAAGCACGTTCGAGCTGCGGGCATAAAATTAATAAGCAACCATCAATACAAGATTGACTGACCGAGACCGCACACAAGCCC